AAAAAAAAAAAAAAAAGAATAGAGAGAAAGAGAGTGAGCAGTAACTTTGTGCTTGACTGACTCATTTTAGAGATAGGGTCTTGCTCTGTTGCCCAGGGTAGAATATAGTAATGCAATCATAGCTCACTGTAAACTCAAACTCCTGGGCTCCAGTGATCCTCCTACCTCAGCCTCCTAAGTAGCTGGGAATACAAGCATGTACCACCATCACTTTATTAGAGAGGAGGGTCTCACTATGTTGTCACAACTAGTCTTGAACTCCTGGGCTCAAATGATCCTCCTGCCTCAACCTCCCAAAGTGCTGGGATTATAGGCATGTCCCCCCCATATCCACCAAACTTTGTGATTTAATTCATAAGCAATTTCTTACTTATAATGAATTACTTGAGAAAAATCAAACAATTGGACCATTATTATACTTCTTGAGTACATAGTATATGATACACATAAGATATTTTATCAACATCATAATTGTCACAATAATTATGCATGGAAGAAATTATGTAGTATTCCCATTTTATAAGTGATAGGACTGATATTTAGAGAGGCCATGGTCATACAATTAGTAAACAGCAAGTTACAATTCCAACCTATGTCTGTATGACTCAAGAGTCACAGTATTTCTATTAAACCCAGGCTACCTCTTACTACATTTCAAAAAGCTTTTGGTTTTTAACCAGCCTACAGATATGGTAAAAATGATACCAAGTTCTGAATTTAGGCTTGGATTCCAGAGTGAAAATTGGAAGGATTTAGTTTGGACTTTTAACTTTTTAGGGTAAAAATGACACCAACTTCTGAATTTAGGTTTGAATTCCAAAGTGAAAATTCTTGAAAGATTTAGCTTGGATTTTAACTTTTTACAAAGTTTCATAAAGTTCATTACAAACTATCAAAGTTCATTTCATTCTAAACTATATATGAAGATACTACACAGGTTTACCTCTACCCCACTCCACTTTCATCTAAACTTCTTTCATACCATGACTGCATAGAACATATGACTTCCAAATCTATCCCTTTTACATATTTATTTATTTTTGAGACAGAGTCTGACTCTGTCACCCTGGGTAGAGTGCTGTCACATCATAGCTCACAGCAACCTCAAACTCTTGGGTTTGAGCGATCCTTTTGCCCCAGCTTCCCAAGTAGCTCAGGCTACTGGCACTAGCCACAATACCCAGCTATTTTATTTTTTTCTATTTTTAGTAGAGACAGTCTCACTCTTGCTTAGGCTGATCTCAAACTCCTAAGCTCAGATGATCCACTCCTTGGCCTCCCACAGTGCTGGATTACAGGCTTGAACCACCTTGGACAGCCATGACTTCCAAATTTACAACTCCAGTGCTCTCTAGTTGACTTCTTCCACTTACAGGTATAACAGAGATCACAAATTTAATATATTCAAGTTGAAACTTTTGTTTTCTCACTCATAACATCGAATTCATAAACAAGTCCTACTATTTCACTTCCACCAAAATAAGCCCCCAAAACACAAATCAGGCCACTTATCTGCTTAAAATTCTCCAGATCAGTGGTTCTCAACTTTTGTAATGCTGCGACCCTTTACTACAGTTCCTCATGTTGTAGTGACCCCAACCATAAAATTATTTTCATACACCTGTATTTGTACGGGGTGTATGTGATGGTTTTAGGTGACCCCTGTGAAAGGGTCGTTCGACCCCCAAATGGGTCATGACCCACAGGTTGAGAACCGCTGCTCTAGATATTCTTTCTTGCACTTTTAGTAAAATTCACAGCATGATGCCTTATAATCGGGCCCTTGTTTACCTCTCTGATCTCATCTTGTACTACTATCCCCTCCTTGTGCTTACATTGGGCTTTTCATTTACTGTTGCTTTTCTGTGGCTGATCTTCCTCTAGGTTTTCATTTGGGTGGCTCTTTTCTTACCATATCATGTTCTCATTTATAATACTCATCTTTCACTGCACTCCCTATAATTCTTTATCCCACTGCCCTACATTATTTCCCTCATGGCCCTGATAAATTTATTTTCATCTATTTCTCACACTAGAATATGAGCTTTATAAGAGAATGTTATCTTATTGTTGCTGTCTTCTTAGTGTCTAGGGTCAAATATTTACTGAATGACCAAACCAAACAAGTATAGATTATGGAAATGCAAAATATTGCCTTCAAAGTTCATCATTTTGAAGGACTATAAAGAAAAAGTGTATCTTCAGCCAGCTACGGTGGCTCATTACCATAATTCCAGCTATTTGTAAGGCTAAGGTGGGGGATCACTTGAGCCCCTTGAGCCCAGGAGTCCTTTTTGTTTGTTTGTTTGTTTGTTTAGCAGGCCCAGATGGGGTTCAAACCCATCAGCTTTGGTGCCAGTGGCCGGGACCCTAACCACTGAGCTACGGGTGCCCAGCCAGAGCCTAGGAGTCAAAAATAGCCTAGACTATACAGTAAGAACCTATAGCTAAAAATTTTTTTTGTTAAATTATGCAGGCATGGTGGTGATGCTTAGGAGGCTGAGATAGGAGGAGTGCTTGAGCCCAAGAGTGCAAGGCTGCAGTGAGCTATGATTGCACCACTGTGATCCAGCCTGGGTGACAGAGTGAGACCCCGTTTCTCTTTTTTTCCTTGTTCTTTTTTTGTTTTCTTAGTCCCCATCAGACCTTAAGAGACCTCATCTCTTAAAAAAGAGAATGTTTACCTTCAGATTTTCTATATCATGTACTATAAGAATAAAAACAGTAGTGTCTAATTACACAAAGTAAATGCACTTTAAAAAGAAAAATATTTTGGGTGGTGCCTGTGGCTCAAAGGAGTAAGGTGCTGGCCCCATATACTAGAGGTGGTGGGTTCAAACCTGGCCTTGGCCAAAAACTGCAAAAAAAAAAAAAAAGAAAAGAAAAATATTTTATCATTTCTTCAATTACAGTTTCACAAATAAAACACATCTTAAGTCAGTCAGCCTATTAAAATTTCTTATATCTTCTTATCAAAAGTGAAAAAAATCTTAAAAAAATTACAGTCAACATTTATACTAGTTTTATAACAGAATTTTCCCCTGATAACACATGGATATTAAACCTAGAAATGGTTAACTGAAGGCTACTAAAAATTTTAACACTATTGAATATTCCATATGAAGACTGCAAGTTTAAAGGTAATATATACTTACATTTGATCCTTAGGTTTCCTGCAGCCATTTAAGAATGTGGGTCAAAGAGAAAGTTTTAAAATGATTAAATAATTTTGTTTCAGAACACATTGATTTCAGCAAAATACTTACATTTTTAACACAACTTAATACTGAAATAACTATTTTCCAGTTTTATCAGGTAGGCAGTTTAGAAGTTCTTAGTTTTTAACTTATTTTATTTTATCTTATCTTTTTTTTTTTTTTTTGAGACAGGGTCTCAAGCTGTCGCCCTGGGTACAGTGCTATTGCATCACAGCTCACAGCAACCTCAAACTCTTAGGCTTAAGCGATGCTCTTGCCTCAGCCTCCCAAGTAGCTGGTATTAGAGGTGCCCGCCACAACAATAATGCTTGGCTATTTTTTGGTTGTAGTTGTTATTGTCGTTTGGCGGCCCAGGCTGGATTCAAACCTGCCAGCTCTGGTATATGTGGCTGGCGCCTTAGCTGCTTGAGCTACAGGGGCTGAGGCTATCTTATTTTATTTTTACAGAGTCTTACTTTGTCACCCTTAGTAAAGTTCTATGGTGTCACAGCTCACAGCAACCTCAAACTTTTGGGCTTAGGTGATTCTCTTGCCTCAGCCTTCCAAGTAGCTGAGATTACAGGCACCTGTCACAATGACCAGTTATTTTTAGAGATGCGGTCTTGCTCTTGCTCAGGCTGGTCTCGAACTGTGAGCTCAGGCAATCCATCTGCCTTGGCCTCCCAGAGGGCTGGGATTACAGGTATGAGCCACTGTGCCCAGCCCTAATTTCTTTTTTTTTTTTTTGAGACAGAGTTCCATTATGTTGCCCTTGGTAGAGTGCTGTGGCTTCACAGCTCATAGCAACCTCCACTCTTGGGCTTAAGCTCTTGCCTCAGCCTTCCAAGTAGCTGGGACTACAGGCACCTGTCACAATGTGTGGCTATTTTTTGTTGCAGTTGTCATTGTTGTTTAGTTGGCCCAGGCTGGGTTTAAACCTGACAGCTTCAGTGTATGTGGCTGGTGCTATAACCACTATGCTATGGGTGCCGAGCCCTAATTTTTGTTTTTTAAAAAACAGCTTACATAGCATATAATTCACCCAGTAAAATGTACAAATTAATGTTTTCAGGTCACAGGGTAATGCAATCTTCAACTTAAATTTCAAATGAATGAAATTTATTGATTTGTTTTTGCCATTTATATAATTATGTTTATTAAAGAAAACACAAAAAAAAAATGAAGAAAACTACTTTATCTACAGACAACCATATTAATGTTTTGGTATATTTCTTTCTAGTATTTTTCCTTATGTACAATTTTTTATTTGGATTTTTTGTTTTTATGTTTTTTGCGTATTTATGACATACTATAGAGTTTTATGTCCTTTTAGTACTTTTCACCCATTACTTTCTTTTTTTTTTTTTTTTTAAACAGAGTCTT